CACACACACACACACACACACACACACACACACACACACACACACACACTCTGTCAGGACTAATGAGGCTCCTCCTTCTGTTTTGCTCACACTTTGAGTGTAAGCGAGCGTCCGGCCGTCCTCCTGTCCTCAGCCTCCACCAGCTGTCACACTGGCTCAGGAACAAGCTGCAGTTTCTCACCTGAAGGGTAGGGGGCAGGGTCCATCCTCCTCCCTGGGGGGCTCCACCTCATGGGGGGGCAGGACACCTACATCATCACTGAGCTCCAGCTGCTCTGACATCATCGTCACCACCCTGGAAAGTCAGGAGGAAAAACAGCATCAAGAGTTTTAATCATCAAACGAACCTGTGCATCATGTCTTATTTAGTCTTATTTTAGTTTTTAAAAGAAAACAAACAATTTTTATTATATTTATTTTTGTTGATAGTCTTTATCAAAACAACAAAACCTCTTTATTTATTAGAGGCTTTTATTTCATGACAAGTAATCAGAGAGCAGGAATTACTTTAGCAAGTGGCTTCATTAGTTCCCTCTGACAGTGTATATGTGAAGGGCTTTTATTGTGAAAGGTAAGAGGATCTCATTTTTATGATAGCAAAAACGCACTTTTCCTATCATGTTAGCACCTGTGAGGCAGATCACAGATGATACATCATCCAGGACTGTGTGTACATGAGGGTGCGCTCTGATTGGTCAGCTGAGCTGCAGAGGAAACCTTCGATCTGAAGGACCACACGTTACGCCTGTGCTGCCATGGCAACAGCACGATGGGGGAGGAAGATGGCTTCTCACGTGCAGTGTGTGTGTGTGTGCGGAAACACAGTCAGCGAGGTCGCAGCCTCACACCACATCGTCGACGTGCAAAAATCAGATTGTGATGAAAAGAACTGCAGTGACTTCATTTCCCAGAGTGCCCCTCTGCCCTGGCATCCTTTCTGTTGCCGTGCGCCTCCTTCAGCGCGTTCGTCATGGCGTCTGCGGGCTCACTGCAGCTTGATGCAGAATGAAATCATATGGGTTCACTTTTATCCTTCAAACAAACACGAGCAGTTTCTAATGTTTCTAATGTTCAGAGTTTATTTTCTCTCAGAGGCAGAGAGAGGTGGGTGATGGGAGGACCGCGTCAATCAGACAGTGGATCGACGCGCTGCTCGAGTTATCAGCGGATTTCCCATTAAACGCACTTCCTCTCAGCATCACATCAGCACAATCACTTCCTCGTTTTCAGAAAACGTCCAAAAACAGTTTTTTATGTTTACTGGTGTGACCGAGGAGGATGCTGGGACAGGAGGAGAGCCCTGTCAGGAGCTGCAGCACTGTGATGGATGAAATCCTTGCAACACAAAGATGAGGGTTTAACACTGTGGGGAGAAAAGCTTTTGAAACAGTTCTCAGATATGACACACGCACACATGTGAGTGAAGGTTTCCACAGCCCAGCCGTACCGCCACGGCCGCCGAAACGAAGCATATATATAGGGAAAGTGAAGATAAAAGCTCAGAGAAGCCATCATGCAGCTGATTCGACCCGTGCAAACATGCCTGTGACATCGAAGGAGGTGGGAACGCACTACAGTTGCCTCGGTAACAGGCGTGATGCTTACACTCTTTCACCTGCTTCGGCTGACAGCTGGTGCTGAACCCTCCCCTCCCCGGGATGATGGAGTCAGACACCTCAGCTGGTGCAACAACCGGAAAAGTGCTACTCTCCTCTTTCTCCTCATTTCCTGTCACATGACTCCTGACGAGCTCCTGCAGGCCTGAACACGTTCATCACAGTTTTTTCTACTCTTGCATCTGTGTGATGTCATACAGAGAGGCTCCACCCATCTGAGGTTCAAACCTGCTGTTTACACGGACCAGCCAATCAGAAAAAAGTTGTCTTTGAAGGGAGGGCGGTATGAGATGAAGAAGGATTATTCTGAACTGTGACTCATGCAAAGCCGCTCCAGCAGAGTGTAAGAATAATGATCGTCATCATCATCATCACCTGTGTCAGTTCTTCGGAGCATGAAGAGCTCGATCACAGGAAGCAGTCTGAATGCCGACCGCTGACCCGAAGCCTTCAAACTGCCAGCCTGCACACAGAGCAGCTCTTTCTGTGTTTCCCTCATCGTGGTTCCTGATGAATTGCATCTATGCAAACGATAAGAAAATAAAACTCCTCGAAAGCCACATTCAAACTTCACCACCTGCCTCTCCGAGCATCAGGACGCCGTATCCTGCAGATCACTGAAGGCGGAGGGACCCGTTTGTCTTTAGACATATTTCTATTATTGCGATCCATAAAGCTTTGAAATCTCCAAAAAAGCCATCTGACAGTCTGAGTCAGCTGACTTTACTTCTGAGCCTATTGTTCATATTTTTAATCTGAGTATCCAGGATAATATCATCCCTAAAATCTGGAAAGCAGCCTCTGACCTCTCAGATCTGAACATCTGCCGTCTGAATCCAAACTTTGTGTGTGGACCTTAAGTATCAGGATCGATGAAGAGCTTGGGTCATCAGCATCTCTGATGGTAACAAAGGACAGTGGACGGCAAGCACACTGCTGTGTTTGTTGAGCTGCTGTTAGGAGATAAAACTCAGATGTAGTAAAGATTCCTGAAGATGAAGGAGTCCCCCAGGGCTCCGCTGTAGACCCTGTTTTATTTTCCTTTTTTATGAATAATATAAGAAAGAATATGGCTACAGCTAGAAAGCTCCTTTATGCAGACAGCATACTTTACTCGGCGTGCTCACCTCTGCATCAGGTTGTCGAGGGGCTTCCTTTCAGCAGCTGCAGGCTCTTAATGCTAACAAAACCAAATTCAGGTTGTTTTCCAGGAATCACTCATAGATAATGTTGGTATCCACACCCTCGGAGGAGATTTTATGGAAAGAGTGTCGTTCTAAGAAGGTGTAGGTCTTCGGTTGGATGCTCAGATTTCTTCTGGTACTCAATGAAAAAGCTTTGATTGATTAAACATGGCTTGTTTTGACTCATCAGTTGAGAAAAACTTACACAGGAAACCTTTTAAAGTTTTCTTGGTTATGGTGACGTTATGTATACGCAGAGCGCAGAGACCCTTAGAGGAATCTCATTTCTGCCACTTATTCTTTCAGTCGCGGCCCAGGTGGCGAAAGATCGATCGATGCAGTTTGCAAACATAAAACTGAGATACTTAAACTCCTTCACTCGAGGCAGATACTCTTCCTCTTCAAGCGAGCACATCGTGCTTCGGCCTCAGACCTTCAGCAGCCCTGCAGCTTCACGCGCTGAGGGTGAAGGGTTTTTACGCTCCTGAAAAGGACGCTTTTTCATTTGTTGGATGTGGTTTGGCTTGTTCCCTTAAGCCGCTGTTTTATCTAAACATTTGGACCCTAATTTGCATTTGGTCAACAGTCTGCAGGTTCTGTGTGAAGCTCTAAGCCATGTGAACAACAGCTTGTCTTTCTAAAAACAAAGATTGGTAATCAGACGGTTTCATGCAGCGGTGGTGGTTAGGAGGAACAGGAAGAGCCGTGTCATCGAATGATGACTGTGAAACCTCACGCTGATGAGAGGACAGTTAAGTGTTACCGACAGAGCTTCCGGATTATCTATGGAAAGTGGTGTTTCGATAGCGTGCAAGACTTTGCATACAGCAAAGCTCGAGGTACAAAAAGATACACGCCTGAAAGACGAAACCTGAAGGGAATACAAACAGCTGTTTATTCAGTCAGACGAGACCAAAGTGAAACAGTCTGGGTGAGAACGAGCACACCACGACCAACGCATGTTGACCCATGCGGGTGGGGGTGTGTGGAGCTGGCTGTGAGTCGGGGCTCTTTCCAACACGCTCTAACAAACATGTGCTCGATGTAATTCTACTTGCCCAGCAAGACTTTAATGCACAACTTCTACTTTTATTAGAATCCCAAACATGTTTTACTTTAATAAAATAGTCTCTTGATTAGGGCTGCGCCATGTCATACCGCTCACGGTAACACCGGTATACCGTTGGGCAACGATAAGAAAATGAAACATGGCGATAGAATACGGGTAAAACGCACAGGCGCAGTGCTTTTGTTTTCATACGCTCATGGCGGAAAAAGCATGGCGGCGAAAGCGGATCGTTGAATGAAACGGAGGAACCAGAACTGGTTTCAGTGGAACTGGTTCAGCTTTCGTCCGTCTGATACACAACAAAGCACTAGTTTTGGTAGCGCGTGCTAGCGGGCCGTCGTTATTACCAAACCGATTTGATGTGGAACACAGCAGTGGCACAAAAGAGGTTTTATTCTCATTTCTCAACAAAAATGCAGCTGAGACATGAAGCTAATCCAGAAGCAGTTTTTCTGCTGGCCACTCGAGTCACACGCTAATTCAAACTTTATTTATACAGCGCCAAATCACAACAACAGTCGCCACAAGGCGCTCTATATTGTAAGGTAGACCCTACAATAATACATACAGAGTAGGTACATTTCATGTACATCTGCACTTTTATTAACACACAGCGCAGATGTACAAGAAACAATTACTCAGAAATAAATTATCAGCATTTATTAAATAATCATGCTCCATAAATAAAAGAAAACTGTTGTTTTGTGCATAACAAAAAGCTCACAACTGTGCAGTCAAAATGTAAACTAACAGACGCTGAGCACAACAACAAGCAGCTGCTCTGTTCTTAACTTCTCCTGCGTGACCGACAGCCTGGAGTTTGAAATCCTCTTCGTAACCGCGTCTCTGACCAGGAGCCGTTTACGGTCCTTATACGCACACAGTACGGTGATATTACGCTGAAGCGCAGTACGTATCACTCCGCGAGGCTCCTGACTACGGCAGCCGTAACGCGGTGCGGCTCCGTAGCAAAGTCGTACTCAAACATTTTTAGTCAGATTGCTGAGCGCCGTGTTCCACAGAGAAGCGGTTCGCGGTCAGTGAGCACAACCAGAACTCATACATAAGGCGCGCTGTCAACTTTTGAGAAAATGAAAGGATTTTAGGCCGTGCAGCACCTCTGGGCGTTAGCGTGGTTAGCTCGTTAACACGTTGACGGCGTCCAGCCCCACGCACGGGGCGATGCGCAGTAACTCGTTAACGGAGATTTGCCGTGTCCAGCTTGTCGCTGCCTGCAGGTGAAGCGATGAGGGAGGAGGGGGTGTTGTGGTCAGTGAAGGAGAGGCGGAGCAACGCAGTGTAGAGACAAAAGTGGACGAAAGAGAGGCAAACCTGCGGCTCCACAACTATAATTATAACGTAACATAGACTATATCGATATAAAGGATATTGTCACATCTCTTATCTCGTATAAAAATATATTTTTAAAAAACTCGATATATCGCCCAGCCCTACTGCAGAGAAAAACCCAACAATCATATGACCCCCTATGAGCAGCACTTTGGCGACAGTGGGAAGGAAAAACTCCCTTTTAACAGGAAGAAACCTCCAGCAGAACCAGGCTCAGGGAGGGGCGGGGCCATCTGCCGCGCCAAGAAGACGGGACAAATGCAATTTTGCAGTTGCTATCAGAGTCGCCCCCTGCTGGTGATTAAGGACAAACTGCAGGTTGAGACATTTAAACAGCTCTGGGCCTGATTTCGTCCTGCAGACCAACACTGACAGTGAGCTTCTGTCTCTGCAGCTGCATTAACTTTGTGCCTCGCTGTCATTAACATGCAGCACCTCCCCTGCAGGCCTCAGTGTGTGTCTGTGTGTGTGTGTGTCCAGCACCACAAACAAAACACCTCTTTGACTGAGGCGCTGCAGAGCGAGGCCGACTCACACAGCTACCCCACAGCCTCACAGCAACAAAAGGAGCTCCTCGTTTCTACTTTTAGTCATGTTGATAAAATCCTCATCACTCTGTGCAAAGCTTTTCATGAAGGTGGAAATTACACTTGTTGTTATCTGTATTGCTCACTGACGGTTTTCTTTGTGAGAAACGCTGCGCGGGAACAACTCTGACCGTAAAACCTCAAAGTTGTGGAATAACCCCGGGATCCAATCATATTACTGATAATCTGATAATGAAGTGTAACCTGATTACTTCATCTTCTGCAAACCCAGCACAGCCAATCAGGCTGAAGATGGGAGCTTCTCGAATGAGCTCAAAATCAGTTTTTCCCTGAAAATCTGCGACTTTATCACTTTAAACTTTTACTCTGAAGATCATTCCTACAGCATCACGCCCTCCCTCCAGCTTCCTTTTCCTTCTTTCCTCCCTCCCCTGTCTTCCATCCTTCCTGACTTTTTTCATTCCCTCTTTCCTTCATATCTTTAACATCCCAGCAGCTTTGTCTCTGTGTAGAAATCAACTCTTTAAATTTATCCTTATTTTCCAGATAAAAATGAAATTCACACATTTCTTTCAGCGCCCTTTAGGACGAGCCCGAGAGCACCCGTTAGCTCGCTTCTTTGGTTGGCGGATGTAGACAGACAGAAAAAATAGTTCCTCTGTGAAACGGCCCGGGTTTGTTGGCTTAGTTTGGTGGATTTTTGTGTTGAGGCGTGAACGATCGCATGTGGAAACAAAAGTCAGGTCAAAGTGCTTAAACGGAGGCTTCACAGACGGGTGATGTCATGTGGTTACTTCTACTTTTTTATACAGTCTGTTGATGCTTCCATCTTTTATATACAGTCTGTGGCCACATCCATCTTTTATATAAGGTGGTGTCTGTAACATAGCTGCTGGTGTTTGGTGAGTTATTTATTTAAATAGATTTTAGGTGGAGGGTGGAGAGTTACCTCAGCCTGACGCGCTCACGTGCATCAAACCCACATTAATAAAGTTCAATCAGATGTCTCATTGATATCTGACATCATTTAAAGCTTTCATTCAGTCTGTGTCCATAAAAGACGGTTTATTACAGCAGTAATGTGATTACTAACGTGTGCACGTGCTATTAACGCGCACCTATGAAAACAAAGCTGCTGCATATAAAGCGGTTTATTACTGATGAAGGAAAATATTAAAATAAGATCTCAGTAGACTCAACAATAGAATCCCCGCAGCACGAGCGCGTGACTCCTAGCACAGACTCACCTTTACCTGCGAGGCTTATGCTGTCTTCAATCACGTCCGCCGGAGTCCCGGTCGGTCCGGTGTCGGTCCGGTGTCGGTCCCTGAGTCCGTCCTTCAGCACCGACACAGGGCGCTCCCCTCTCTCTGTGCACGAGCTGCGCAGTCACGCTGGCAGCATTCGACACAGCGTGTGCAGGAAGTGAGAGGAAGTGCCTTTCAAAGTAAAGAATGAATGAAAGTTGAGTGTTTAAACGGGTTTCACTCGTGAGGCACATTTAAAAACGTTTCTCTGTCGGTTTCTAATCCAACCCCACACAGATGTTCCTGATGTTTCTGCTGCGTCATCATCACCTGTTACCTGTCTGCGTCTCACCTGTCTGGATCACCGTTCGTCAGATCCACTGTCTCTGAAACACACCTGATGACATCATCATCACATCTTTGGTTGAAAATCATTTCTGTGTGTTGGAGGGGCTGATGCCCAGGTGTGTTTAGAGAGGTGCGGGGAGTGGGGCGGCATCTCCTCCTGATCTATGACGAGCCAACCCCGACTGATGTGATTGGATTAAACAACCACAGTCACATTTCCTTCCCTGAGTACAGCTTTAACATGCCGGCACTTTTTTTAAAATGATGAAGGTTTATAAGCTTTAAAGTGAATTCAAACTACCAGCAGGTTCTCAGCTCCGCAGGTCATGGCTGATTCCTTCAGCAGAAGGAATCTGAGTAAAGGAGGAGACCCAATCCCAGGTGAGTCCATCCCAACCATCACACCTCGACCCACATGATGACCCTCAGGACCTCCTCCAGGCTGGGACGCCAGCTTTTAGGCTGAGAGGTCAAATCTTCATGAGCCTAACAAGTCGTCAAGGTGCCTTCACCTCAAACAGGAAGCGAAGAAACAGCCACTGTGACATCACTTCCAGGACACAGGTGTCTCATTGCACAGAAGTTAAAGCTGTGCTTTGGTGTCATGACTTAAAGGAGGCCTGTGAATTCATGAAGACTAAATTCTTGTTGTTCAACCTCCTGAAGACTTAATGCACCTGTGGGTCTCTTACACTCAGGTTTACCTGTCACAGGTGAGTCAGACAGCTCATGTTAACCTGAACCCTCCGTCAGGTGTTTAATGTGGATGTTTTTTTTATTTTCCCCTGAAACACAGTCAGGGATGGTTTCCTTAGAAACCACCATCATCCCAGCCTGCACGTGATGCGTTCAGTGGACATCTGTAAACGGCACGAACGAGAAACAAACTCCACATCATTGAAATGTTTCTGTTGAGCTATTTGACAACTCAACAGCGCCGCCGTGTGGCCAAGCGAGTGCACTGCATCAGAAATCAAACAAACTTCCAAACCACCAGATTTTTTAGCATTAAACAAAACACTCTTTTTAATACTGGCTTTTATTTCTTCATATACAATCAAGCAGGAGCTTTTCAGTTATCCTCAGAGGCACTCGTGATGATGAGGAAACATGAACAGATGTGGAAATCCGTTCAGTGGATATCTCCGTGTGTCCTTAAGTGGCAGACCCAACAACCCTCCACAGCTGATGAACAGGATCTGAGAGTCACGAGAAAAAAAGAATCAAACAAAGAGAAAAACAAAATGAAATAACCAACGTGAAAGCAAAATGACCCGAGTAAATAAGTGAAACTAAAATTCTTTATAAGACATTTATAAAAACTTACATCCGTTCATGGAAAGTTTCCTGCAACAAAACGTGAAAGATTGTGCTACTTGACCTGCCAGAAGTTCTGGGTTAGGGTTCTGGCACAGAACCTCGTCGATCCATCTACGGTACTTTGAAATGTCCGTATAGACGTTGGGTTTATCGGGGCAGTTATCGTTACGGTAATAGTTGAAAGAAACGAGACCAACAGCCAAACCGTCGCACACCAGAGGACCACCACAATCACCCTGTGAGGATTTTAATTTGTCAGATTATTTTTTTATACCTTTGTCAACAGAACAAGTTTCCACTGAAAGCACAGAAAACATACCTGACAGAACCCTTTGGCTGTCTTATATCCACCTGCACAGGTAACATTGGCAGGAAGACCAGGCCACTGTTCCTCACAGACGTGTCTATCAATGACACGTCCACCACCCTCACTCATCAACAGGCTCCCCATCAGTTTTAGTTTCTCCCCATCCAGCCACATGACAACGTGATTTTCTTGTAGGTGTATTTCAGCAGGAAGCTGAATTGTTTGTACTCTGTGGTCTAATCGAACTTTCTCAGACAGCTGGAGACACAGCATGGAGTAAAAATAGAAACATGTTTTTCCACATAGAAGCTTTTATTAAAAATATAATTATACCACAAACACGTCAAACGAAACTGTTGTCTTACCTTGAGTAACATGATGTCATTACCAAGTCCAACGTGTTGGTAATTTTCATGGATGATTTTGTTTTCAATTTTTACTTCCTGATGATTTTACCGTTCTTCAGATTGTGGTTGCCGAGAACGACGTGTGAGGCCTCTGAGGGAGTAATCAGCGAGAATTTAAAATGTAAACTATTTTAAACCTAATCGCTTGATTTCTCAGCAAGCAGTCGTTACATGCAGGCTAATGTCAGCAGCAGTGTTGGTCAAGTTACTTGAAAAAAGTAATCAGTAACTAATTACTGATTACTTCCCCAAAAAAGTAATCCCATTACTTTACTGATTACTTATTTTCAAAAGTAATTAATTACTTAGTTACTTAGTTACTTTTTAAAAACACGATTTACACCCTGAAGAGGTGATAAAGCGATAGATCTTTCAGCCCAATTCTACTTTTTCTGCATAATCCATCATACAAAATGTAATCAAATGGAAAAGTCTCTTTTTAAAACTTGTTTTATTAGTTTTAATCTTTTAACTTTATGCATCAAGCAAAAATTTAATTATCTGCAACATTCTCTGACTGGAAGAAATTAGTTTAACATTTAAACCTATTTTCTGCACATTCCAGCACATAAAATAAAATATTTTTTGTGTTTACACTCAGTCTTTCAAATAGATGCAAGTAAAACACAGCAGAAAATAAATAAAGTCAAAGACTCAGCGGTCCTGTTGCTCTATTTTCACCTGTAAAGCAGGAGTGGGGTAGGCGGAGGGTTACCCTGGTGCAGGTGTGCCGCGGTCAGTGGAAGAATCCGCGAGTTTCTCTGTGAGTTTCCCATTACGTCGTAGCTACTCGGTGCTTGTTGGAAGTTTAGGGGTTTTTTCTGTAAAAAGAAGTTTTCTTCCCACGCACAACGCGTTACAGTGCTGTATCTAACGGCTGTCAGAGGTTTGCTGTTACATATTCCAAAGGTCATTAATATTTGATGATGTTAAAGTTAATCATCTTTTATTATGCTTTAAAATAACACCTGCCTCATCAATAACCTGTATTTATTCATCAGACCACTCCAAGTTTGAAAATGTTTTTGTATAAACTCGATGAACAGGAAATCAAACTCACGAGTTGCACTAGTGAGCACAAAGTCTTCAGTGAGGAGAAAACCTCCACAGACATGTCGACCCTCGTTATCCTGCACTGACACCATCGAGCTCTGCGCAGCTGGTTCTCCATGAAAAATTCCTGTTGCAAACTCTGATAAAAGAAGAAGTTAAAGTCAGTGTGGCGTTTACAGCATTAAGATAAATCAGGTATATTTGATGTCTCACTGATGTCTCGCAGACATGGTGGAAGACAAAGAAGCAGCTTGTGCAGACAGCGCATGGTGCCAGCAGGAACCTCAAACCGTCCTTTACTCTGTAGAAAGACTTTTATACAACACGCGTCTTAGTTTGAAGGCTGGACTATCTTCATCATCTCGACTTCCTGTCATGCTAACCGCAGGCTTGTTCTTGCGTTTTCCTGTTGGTACATTTGGACGTTGTTGGCTCTCATTCTGCAGCTTACAGACACCTGAAGTCTCCGGCACCGTCACAGCCATTAGTGACCTCACGGTGTCTGCTGTGAGGACGGCTCTGGAGACCAGAGACAGCACAACACTTATACTGCAAAATGATTTTTACAAGTTGTTAAATGAAGTTAGTTTGACAGAAAGTTCTGAGTAAAGAAGAGATGTGTCTGAAATTCTCCAAGCCCCTCCCCTTTTCTTACAAGAGTGGTTAGCATCATGGAGAAAACAAAAACAGCTAACAGCAGAGATTTCATCAGCTGAGATTACAACTCTCAGGTGAAACTGTATCAACATCATCATACAGGTAAAATGATCCAACAGAAGACAAACTGAAGCCTTGCTGGGAAACAGCAGTGAAACATTAGACCGTGTCAGCAATGCAGCAAGGCCACGTCAGCGTGAGCAAAATACAGGATGAGATGTGCACACCGGATGGGTCGGGGTCATCAATGAACCGCTCCGGTGCTGCTCAGGGTGAAACTGTGCTGCTGCTGGCAGAAGGAGAAGGGGGGATGGTGCGTTAGAAGGCAGCGAGCGTGCAGGTGAGAGTCGGGACTTTAAATGCAGGGACTGTTAGAGAGACCGAAGGAAGGTAGAGTCCCGATCAAAAGTTTAAGACCACCTGAAAAAGGGCCAAAAATCCTACTTTTCATGGTTGGATCTTAACAGGGTTCCAAGTGGAGCTTCAACATGCAACAGGAAGAAATGGGAGTGAGACAGAACATTGTTTTGAGCAACTCTTAAACTGAAACGGGCTGTTTTACAGTCCAATGTGGTGCCTTTAAAGTCTGAAGTGAACTCTGGCTCATTTCCATTCCTCAAATTTACAGTTAAGGAACAAAAACTTTATTAACGAGGCCACATGTTACTGAATAAAGTGAATAATCGATGGATCCACATCCAAAAGCACATTTCTCCATTTGTTTTACGTTTTTAAACCAGGAAATATTTTATTCTACACAATGAAACCAGAGTCTGCAAGCTTTTTGTTTTGAAAGAAGAACCCTTTGATCTGAGCGAATCCCTCCTGCCTCCCATCATCCCAGGACCTGAAGACGTTTCACAACATCAGCTTCTCTCTGGTGTTTTCAGGGAATAAATGAGGACACTGAGCTCGAGCGCTGCTCCACCAGCTACAGGTTTAATATCAGATCAACAACAGTAGAAAAACAGAGGCAGAGACTACCAGACAAAAAGAAGAGTAGGAAATCCAACATCATCCAACAGCTCTTTAAAATAATTCCTCTGTACAGTATTTACACACACACACACACACACACACACACACACACACACACACACACACACACACACACACACACACACACAGAGCATGTTTACAGCTACACACTGAGGAGGAGGAGCCTGTCACTCAGTCAGTACAAGGAAGCAGTCTGAATACTGCCCTCTGATTGGCCGGCCCTCCTTCATCCAGTGTTCTCTTTATTTCACGTGAAGCTGAGACGCATCCAGGTAACGGTGTGATGTCACCCGGAGCTGAGCCCGTCCTTCTGAAAGAGGTCAGAGGTCACCCAGTCGTCCCTGCAGGTACGTCACTGTGAGCTCTGCATCCCAGCAGCACCTGCTGGCCAACGGGACCAGGATCCGGTCCGGCGAGGGTCGGAGCAGTTGGCTGGACGTCCAGGCAGAGATATCAAACACACACAGAACACCACTGAACTGATGTCACGGAAACAGAAACGCTTCTTCACGTGATCCAGTCACATGACTCGGAGAGGCGTAGAGGCTGGCCAATCAGGTGTGCCTGTAGAAAGTGAGAGGAGATCACGGGTCAGAAGATTTTACCAGGGAATGGTTTGAAATTAAAATGAAGAAGAAGGTGATGATGATGATGAGGAGGCTGATGTCCTGTTCAGTAACTCTGGTTTTTACACTGAGATTCACTGATCTGACCAGTAGGTGGAGCTGCTGCACTGAGACGCCTGAAGCAGGGCAGCTGAATTTCAGTACAGGTGGAGAGGAGCGGCACAGAAGTCCCAGCATGTTCATGGATGTGATGAGCACCTGCGCAGTACTCACGCATAACTGGTGTGTGTGTGTGTGTGTGTCTCTTACCGTTCTCACCTCCGTGCGGGCGGGTACATGGACTGGGCGGACGCTTGCTGACTGGCGACGATGGCGGAGGATGAGAGGCCTGAAACAAAGACAGGATGTCAGAACTGAAACAGACTCGCACACGCCTCTCATTAAAAGCAGCTGCAGGCTCAGAGGGGTGAGGTGGGCGGGCTCAGAGGGGTGAGGTGGGCGGGCTCAGAGGATCCCTTTCCAGCTATGAATCATGGGAGGTCAGCTTCACCATGGCTGTGTGGCTGGTCACTAAACTGAGCAGGTTGTCCTCCAGTCCGAGAACACCTGAGCTAAAGAGGATCTAAAGGCAGCAGGCGAGGCTCACCTGAGGGGTAAGACAGGTCGTACAGAGGGTATCCCAGGTGGTGATGGGACTGCATGATGCGCTGCGAGGGCGAGGAGCGTGGCCGGTCGCCCTCCCTTTCTCTCTCCCGCTCTCGGTCATGTGGCGTCTTGCTGTCCTGGATGGACGGCGACTTGCTTTTGTACTGGCTGGCGTGCAGCTGCAGCAGGTCCAGAGCTTTGGCCTCGCTGGACGGCTTCACAGACGGACTTGACCTGGAGGGCTTCTCGCCGTCCTCGCCCGCCCCCACCTTCCCGCCGTATGAGGAGGCGTAGTAACTGGCTGGCAGGTACGAACCTGGAAGGACAAACATGAACAAACAACATGATGTTTATGTTTGAACATAAAGGTTCAAACATAGGTTCGGCATGATGACGTGGCGGCAGCAGCTCTAAAGGTCAGTACGCCATTTTTCAGTGGTGATTAGTGTGTAACTGTGTTCTCCAACAAACTCAGGATGAATCCACTAAAAATACAAAGCAGCGCCGTGTTACCCCCACCAGCTTTGAACACAATGGCTGAGATGGATCCAAACATCACATTTTATGTATGTGGCTAGAGACCGCCCACAAATGCATGACGCCAAAGGCAGAGGAGAAGAGAAATCGCAGGCGTTTAAATCCATGCCTGCATCTTCAGACTGCAGATATGAAACGCGAGTGTTTTATCCTTCACCAAACACATGACAGGAAGGAACGAGACAACGCCACCTTAACAAAATCTCATCCTATTCCTTCTCACCTCAGTCTAAAGCGCCACAACCGTTTCCACAAGGCCACTTACAGTGTGAGGCAAACAACAGAAACAGTGACTTTGATGCGTCTTTGTTGACCAGCATGTTTGTCCCACAGTGGCCACCGTAGCCAGGATTACACGTGCAGTGGCGAGATAGCTTAAAGATCTTTAAACCTGTCAGAGTTCGGTCGAGCTCTCAGCATCGACTCCTCTACAGCGCTTTCTTTCGGGGGCCAGTGAAAGTCTGATCATCCGGGGCCGTGCGTCGCATTCGTCTAATTTTATATTAATAACGTGAATGAAAATGAGCAGAAGTAGATTTGAAGCGTCGGCTGGTCTAAAACAGCCTGATCTCATTTGTTTACACAGAAATGTGGAAAAAAGTGAAAATTGGTGGATTTTAGAGGAAGTTGCATGTTGAAGTTCAGCTTCCTGAAGCCTTATCACCGTGAACAGTCGGCAGGTTTACCGGCGAGCCTAAACAGAAACCAAAACCAACAGCTGGCACTCGCTCGTCCCTCGGACGCCACAAAGAAACGTGGCTTTTAATTTAACTCCTCGCTGGTTTTCACTCTCCAGCCCTCGCGCTCTCTTTGTGCTGCGCCTGCTTTATGTCGTGTTTGAGTTTCTCACCTGGGTAATTCTGCATCATGACCGAGGGCATGCCTCTGTACCCGGGGTGGCTCGGCTCGTAGCCCTGGCTGTAGGCGTACGGTCCGTGCATGTAGGGCACGTAGCCCTGATGCTGGGCCAGCGGCGAGGGGAATTGCATGTGAGGCGGGCGCGCCTCCTTCCCGCCCCCGCGGAGCTCCTCGGGGGGTAGCTGCGTCCTACCCTCCGCCACCTCCTTCGCCGCCTCGTCTTTCTGGAGGCTCTCCTTGGGCCGCGGCCTCTCTTCCTTCACCTTCCTGTCCCGCTCCTCCTTCCACCTGTCGTCCTCCTGAAGTTTGGGAGCCTCCGAGTATTTGCTGGGGTAGACGTAGGACCACAGACGTGAGTCGGGCTCCTGCAGAGAGGGAGAAACCTTCATCAGCATCAAACTAACCTCAATCAATCTTAAAACACAAGCGAGGTGGAACGTGCCGTGACAGAGGGAGGACACCTGTACCTGTCTGTACCACATGGCAGCTTCGACGCTCGCTGCTCGGCCCGGCTCCGCCCCTGACTTTGGCTCTTCTTTCCCGTGATGCCCTCCTTCACTCAGCTTGATCTTCAAACCCTCGGGCTGGGCGGCGGGCGCCTTGGAGTCCTCTCCCTTCGCCATGATGACCGACTTGGCCTGTTCCGAAGCCGTGGCGGGCTCTTTGGGCTTCGCTGGGTTCACGCCTCCCCTGGCGCCCAGATCCGTGAGGCTGGGCGCCCTTGACAGAGTGGGCGGTACCGATGCCTTCTGCTTCCACTCTTCTTTCACGGAAGCCTCGCGCTCTTTGCTCTCCGCCTTCTTGTCAGCGTGGCGCTGTCGCTGCTCCTCGAAGTGTTGACGGTAGGCAGGGTTGGAGGCCAAGAGGTGGGCGTGGTAGGCCTGCTCGTGGGAGTAGGAGTAGGGAGGGACGTAGTACTGGTTGTAATAGAGCGGCTGGGCGTACATGTTGGAGCGCTGCTGGATGACTGATGGCTGCGGAGGCCCTGGCTCCACCTTTCTCTCCTCCTGAGGCTCCTCCTTCAGTTTTCCCTCCTCTCCCACCTCAAGCTCCTCCTCTTTCTTCACTTTCACTTGTGCTATCTCACCATGAGGTGGTGCTGCAGGCGCTGGTCCCGGGCTGGGGTTGGCATAGGTGGGGGAGTAGTAGGCGTCGTAGCTGGGGTAGTACGGCGAATCTTTACTGGACGCCTGAGGGGGAAACAGCGCCTTCTTGGCACTCTCACGAGGTCCCTGGTCAGGCTCTGGCTTGACCTTTACCCCCTCTGCCTTACCCTCGCCGTCCTCCCCAGCATCAGAGATGTCAGAGTAGGCGGGGCTACCGGTCTTGACCGACGCGTTGTCGGCTCCGTTCTGGGTCATGTGAAGCGTGGGCGCCAGGCCGGCCTCCATCCTGCTGGCCACGCCGATGGACGGGCTGGGCGCGTTGTCGGAGAAACTGTACACCTTGTCGGCTTCGGCTTTGATGCTGGCGAGCCGGCTCTGCTGAGCTTCCGAGGAGCCGTTGAGCAAAGCGTCTGACGCCTCAGAGTACGGGCTCTTGCCCTCCTCTGGCCTCCCCGCCTTACCCATGGCCTTCGGGCTGTCCTCTTCCTTTCCGCCGTCCCTCTTCTTTTTGTCTTTCTTTTTCTTGTCCTTGGAATGGGCGGGGCTGGAGGCGGGGTCAGTGAGGGGCGCGGGTTTAGGCTGGACGTTTTTCAGCTGGGGGCTTTTGGGTACGGACTGTACCACTGAGCCCAGAGCGGGGGAGGATGCTTGGAGGGAGTATGGCGAGGGAACTCCGGGCGCGCCGGCGGGGCGAGTCAGCTTCAAGCCTTTCTGTCCCAGTTTCTCAGCCTTCCCCCCGGCTGTCATTTTCTTGACCTTCCTGTCGTCCATGCCGTCATTACTGGCCTCGTCAGTCAAACACGCCCCCTCCTCGCCGCCGTCCGTCACCTCAGGCTCAGCCTCGCTCGTCTTCTTTTTAACCTTTGATGTCAGCTTGCCTGGTGAGGGCGAGGGGGCATCGAAGCCCCGACCCTTCGGTGTAGTGGAGCGAGCAGGCGAGATGGCGGCGCCGTTGCAGGAGGCGGGTTCGGGATGGAGGGCGGGGTCGTCCCCGTACTCGCTGTCACCGTCCTGGTCCAGTCGGACGTCCTGGTCGTTGTGGGCGCGGGCCTGGTGGTACTTCAGTCCGTTGATATGCTTGTACTTCTTGTTGCAGTTGGGGTGGGGGCAGTCGATGAGGACGGGGGAGGGGCAGGTCCGGTCCAGCTGTGGCGGCGGCAGTGAATCTGCTTTGCTTCCAGGCAGAGGCGTCCCGGCGCCGGTCGAGTTCGTTCTCATGCGCTTTGACGCTTTGGTGTCCTCTGAGCTGGAGGTGGGGTCCATATCTGAGGCGGGCTTTGTCTTCCTCTTAGCGGAGGACGGGCTGGCTTTGGCGTCTTCGCCGCAGCCAGCCGTCTGACTCCCCCGCCGGCCTTTGCTGTTGGCCGCGGCGCCGCGCGTCTTACTGCTGCCGCTGCCTTTATTGTCCGACGAGTTGCTGTTGTCGTTCAACGGCGTGTTGCTGCTGGGACGCATCCTCTTACCTCGACCGCGGCCGCTCCGCATCTCCACGTCACTGGTGGGAGACTCGCAGAACCTAAAAACACAGAGGTGGACATCAGCGAGCCGAAAGACACACCTGACCACACCTGTACCAAAGGTAACCAAAGGTGTCACGCAGCCGACTCAAACAAACCATCGTACAGCACACAGAGCCACAGCTGTCCATTATCAGTAATCGAGTATTGATTACTCCATCGAGTAACTGGATGAGACTTACGTTTGTCTTATTAATGAGCAATAATAAGTTGTTTTGTTTACCTGCATGAAACCTACAGCCTTTCCCTGTGTCTGCAGGTATCGACCACGTGTCTCACTACAGGTTCATCTGTATGTTTGTCCCTGACACGTTTCTACGTGTTTACATGGTGGTGACTGAGCGTAGCAAGAACGAGCTTGTTTTATACTCGAGATCTCGGCCGAACGGCGTGAGCCTGAGTCGTTTCTGTACCTCGGCGGCGCCCAGTCGTGCCGCGTGCAGTCCAGCAGAGTTCCAACGTACGTCTTGTTCCTCCAGGTGACGTTCACAACCAGCATACCTGCAGAAAAACACACAGGCAAACCATGAAAACGAGACATTTTTAGCTACTCGGCACGGAGGTTCTTTCAGCACTGTGTTTCGACTCAGTTAAACTCAACTTGAGTTTTGAATTTCTTACAGCTTTACAAAATTAAAGAGAGCGCTGGGCCTTATATCAGCTTACAGTAAAAGAAGCAAAGCGGAAACACTTTGCAAACATTAGTATGGTGAATTATCAGAAACCACATATATTGTTTAAGCCCTCTTTCTGCTCTCAGTTTTGAGCCGTCACATGAAATGTGTGAAGTTTCTGCACTTCTTTATAAAGAAGGTAGCCTCGGCTAGGGCGCGGATTACTTTGCCCACATCTGACGCCTCTGATCCTCCAGTTTGCTCGGCTGTCTTTCAACAGAGTCGGTTACTCTTGCTCAGCTACAGCAGGTGGTGGATCATCTAAAGCCTGTAGGCTCGCCCTCGATGCCATCCCTCCCCGTTTTCTGAAAGAAGTTTTTTCTACCACAGGTTCAACTATTTTAACCATTTTAAAAAGCAGCCTTACAGTACTTCAGGTGTGGTTCCAAAGAATTTCAAAGATGCAATTGTGCAACCACTTCTTAAGAAACCTGGGCTAGATACGAACGCTGTTGAGAACTTTAAACCAATATCTAAGCTGCCCTTGGAAAAAGTAGCATGTAACCAATTGATCCCGTTTTTGAATGCACAAAATGTTCAGATGATTTTCCAGTCTGGTTTTAAAGCAATGCATAGCACTGAATCAGCACTTTTAAGAATTTTAATGACATATTTTATCATGTGATTCTGGTGAAAGTGTCCTTCTTATCTTACTCGATTTAACTGCTGCATTTGACACTGTAGACCATGAAATTTCAATCTCGTGTTTGGAGCAGTGTGTCGGTGTAACAGGTTCTGAAATGGTTCAGGTCTTATTTAACAAACTGAGTCCTCCCGTGCTCCGCTGTCTCATGGAGTACCACAGGGTTCCGTTCTGGGCCCTATCCTGCTTTCGCTTTATTTACCTCCCTTGGGCTCAATTTTTAGGAGACACGGACTCTCGTTTCACTGTTCTGCAGATGACTGCCAGATTCATGTTCCTCTTAAAAAGAAAGATGGGTCGTCTGTAAATCGCTTACGAACATGTCTGGAGGACGTCAAGTCGTGGTTGGCGCTAAACTTTCTTTGTTTTAATGATTCTAACACTGAAGTAATGGCGTTCAGACCTCCTCCGCTGCTGTTCCATGTGTTGCTTTGCAAACCCCGAAATCCTGAACTTAAGCTTGAAAGCCAGATCGGGTCGGTTGTGAGGTCTAGTTTCTTTCATCTGAGGCAGCTGGCACTTTGAAACAGTAATCCGTGCCTTTGCAACCGCTCGGCTGGGTTACTGTGATTCTCTTCATTATGGGGTGAGTCGATCTTCTGTTCTTCGACTGCAGCTAGCTCAGAATGCTGCTGCACGTCTTTTGACTGGCACTCGTAGATGCCAGCACATCACCCAGTTTTATATTCACTTCATTGGCTGCCCGTGCATTTTAGGATCATTTTAAGCTGCTTTTATTTGTTTTTAAATGTCTGTCCAATGCTGCCCCTCTGTACCTCTCTGAGCTCTTCATCCACACATACCCTCCCGGCCCCTCAGGTGGGCAGACCAGCTCCTCCTGAGCGTGCCCAGGACTAATCGTGAGCTCAGAGGGGATCGGGCGTTTGCTGTGGCAGCACCAAAACTGTGGAATGAGTTGCCTTTACATGTTAGACAGGACCTTCCTTATCTGTTTTTAAATCACGTCTTAAAACATATTTATTTACCTTGGCTTTCAGCACAGCAGGACTTGTTGATGTCTCTTAATATGTTTCTTATTAATTACATTATTTTTAATTTTAAGATATTCTATATGGAATTTAAACTGTTTTCTCTTTGTTCTATATTTGTAGCACCCCTAACCCTTATAAATAAAGATGCTATGCTACTACCAAGAAGAAAAGCTGCACCGCTGGCACTGAAATTCAGCTTTCAGTTGGTGGGAATTCCCTCTTCAAACTTACAGGGGGATTCCTGCACATTGCTTTCACTTTTTCACTCAGCGCCTGTCGCCGTCTTCTCTCGGCTGCTCTGGACTTTCTGTTTTACCATCCAAGCAGCTGATTTGCTCATTAGAAGCTGGGGCTGCGGACTTACTCTGGGGGCCTCTCTGCGGATGAATGCTGGTGATGTGTAACACCCTCAGGTGCTTTTATGAGCCAGGTCCTCGTCAGCTGATGCAGATTACGTTTTTAGCTAGCACTAAAAGCCTGTCTGCAGATGTTCCAGACGTTGGCCAGGTGTGACACTTGTGCACTGTTGGGCTGAATGTTATTAACCTGCCACAAACATGTTGGGACTTAAATGAGGCAAATCTGCAGGAATCAGTGAAATGATGTGAAACCCACATTTGGCCATGACTGGCGTCCTCCTCGCTCTCGCTCAGAGCCATCGAGTCCGTCCTCAGAACTGCAGGCCGACGTGCAGTTTAGAGATGGCACGATACCACTTTATGTCCGATATCATAAATTTGGATATCGGCCGATACCGATATGAATCTGATATAGTGTTTTTTTAATATCTTGCTGCATTTGGTATAAGTTCATACTCAAGTTTAAATAAACAACAACACTAAAGCTATTCTGTTATACCTGTATGTAAAAAACACACTGCACCCAAAATATTTCATAGTTCAGCAAAACTGATCAATCTAATAAACTTAAACCTGCTCCAGCCTCCCTGTTCTGGTATTTTAAAGAGTACTTAGCAGAAATATTAAGCAACCTAACTAACAGGGCTGCAAACTCCCAGCAAAAAAAAAAAAGGGAACCACCCTCCACCTCATGATGCTTAATCGATGTAATCAACTTTAATTTAATGCACAGAAATAAATTATGTTTCAAGAATAATTAAATAGATTCAACATCTTCCTTCAACAGAACTGCAGACTGCACAGATGGTTCCCAAAGGAAAAAGTACTACAGCTTACTAGGTTATATTAGACTTAACAGTTACTATATACAGTAAAGGACTTCTATACATTTTACATCAAATTAAAACTTTGGGTGTAAGAGTCAGATAATTATTTATTAAAAGCTCGACATTTTAAATGAGAATAAGAAAGAAAAGTATGTCTTTGTGCCCCTTTTCCCTGTTCATGCCCTATCGGCCCCCCTGGCTAAACTTTGCTAGATCCGCCCCTGCACAGTTACAGCCGTCAGCTGTAGAAAAAGATCCTGGTGTAGAAAGTAATATTAAATAAATTCTAACAACAGCTGATCAAGCTTAAACGTGCTGCTGTTGTTCAGCCGCTGGTTTCCTCTTTCTGGTGCAAAGTGGGCCAAAAACAAAGAAGAGAGCCGATCAGCTGATCATTGATCAGTTTCATGATTGAAGTAGCAGCAGGAGAGGCAGTCGCTCCATATATCTGTTGATGAAATGCTGGTTTGGTAGCGAGGCTACAAATACTCAACCAGACCACAGGGCACGCCACAGCCGCTCGATCACGTGACCACACTGCTGCGACGTGCTACGGTTATGAGCCGAGTTACGCCGTGTCGCAAGTTTTGTGAGGTGCTTTTTTGATATTTAATGGATCGGATTACATTTTTTATTTCTCTCCGATATCCGATCCAGTAATTTAGGTCAGTATCGGACCGATACCGATACGTAATATCGGACCGGTCCATCTCTAGTGCAGTTATTAAAAAAAACAAACAAACAAACAAACAAACAAAACAAAAGACTTCACATTGAAGTACAAACATCATTTTATGTTGGTTTGAAAAAGCCAAAGGTTTTCTGACCCCACAATTACGATGAAGGGATAGGAGTTAAGCTCCTCCCCTCTGGGGTCTCCACTTTAACAAATGAGTCCTCAGAGTAACTCCCCACACTTACAGCTCCTTTCTTCGATGTGCTGACGTGACTGTATCAAAGCACGGAAGCTGCGAGTGCAGCAGGAAGCAGACGTGTAGATGCGACTTTCCTCCCCGGCTGGGACGCAGATGTCGAACGCTTTCATACCAGCGTCACGCTCGGCGGGTTTCTGAGGTCGAACCGCATCAGTGATTGGCTGACAGTGGAGCTAATTAAAGAGTGAGATTGAGTACTTCAGCAGAGCTTTCCACTAACAGGAGCGCTTCTAAGAGCGCTGCTGATGAACAGCTTCCTGCCCGAGTCTATCACCTCCACACAGGTTTTCCTCCAGCTACACGCCACTCTGCATTCGGCGTCCGCAGGACATGCAGACGCGCTCACAGGACGTCACTGAATAAAAACTGAGATGCACGACTGTTCAGCAGGGCCGTAATCCAGACAATAAACTGGACCTGATCTTTTCACAGAGCTCCACACTGGCTCAGCATCGGCAGCTCTGCACGCACATCACACCTGCTCAGAGGGGTGGAGTCATGAACGTTCAACCCAAGCTGATAAAACTGATGCATGTGTTTGTTAAAGTATATCAGAAGGTGTTTTTTTTCTCTGCAACAGCCAAAGGCAAAGAAAATGCACTGACGGACCAATCATTTCATTTTGGTGGCTGAGTTATTGGTACCACCGCAGCTGCACGAGGCTCAGCAGCAGTTCAGTGGAACATCAGAGCATTAATGAAGCACCTTTTCTCTAATCTAACGGGAGTTTTGTGGAGTGAAGGTGCAGAAAAGCTTTCTTTTTGGAATAATTTGGATTGACAGGAAGACGGTGTCCGCTCGCCGTCGCAGCTCGTAAAGGTTTGCTGCAGAAACCGAGAGTCTCTCGCTCCTTGTTTGGTTCATTGTTCCAACCGAAGGCTTGATGTTGTGGGAAGTTCCTGCCAGTCTCGTGTGCACGGCTCTTCTTCAGCAGAATGGGAAACGATGTTCAGGTCGGGGTAGTGCGAGTGCCTCTGATGAGCGCTCATTTTGTTCTTCAAATAAACACACGTAAAAAATTACTACGCAGCCATCTACTGCGATAACGCTTTTCTCACCGTCCTCCGTCTCCTGCCACACGATGCCCTCCAGGTTCACGCTGGTTCCCGGCTCACAGGGTCCCAGGCACTCCGGCTCGGTCGCCAGCGCCGCGTCGACGGTGTTCACGGCGATCGAGCGCGTGCGGACCATGATCTGCTCGCAGGGAGACGAGATGTCGCCGCTGCTGGGGACGGAGCCGAGGAGGTGGAGAGGGGGAGGAGCTGGGGTAGAGACTGGAGACTCCATCTGGACGGAGGACAGAGAAGACGAGAGAGAAATCAAACACGTGAGTGCAACCACAGGAGAGCTGGAAGGAAATCCAACCTAATGTTTAGTTGGTGCCAAAACAAAGAGAACCACTTATCACGTTAAAGAAATAAAGATCATTTATTCCCCGTGGCGGGAACAGCACCTTTGACCTTCTTCAATCCTTGGCTGCCCATCAAGGCAGCACTCAAACATCTACCGTCTCTCTCTGAGGTAAAACTGCAGCTTCTGTGAATGAAGTCTGGTGCAGAACATCTCCACTTCCTGTCTGACAGCAGGTTAAATGTCTATTTAAACTTTATACTTCGTCTCTCTGCTTAGGGGTGTGGCCTACTGCCAAAACACAGAGCCATCCCCAACTGAGAGGAAGTAGTTTTTAATTATGGTTTTAAAGTCCCACCTTGACCCACCTGGAACATACACGTTGGTTTTCAGGTAAATTTGACAGTGCTGAGAGCCGACGATGAGGGCGGTCCACACCGTCCTCTTCTTTAAGAATGAGAGCTGCTGCCTGGATGCAGGGAAAACCGCTGAGCAGCAGGAAAACCTCAGACTAGCTCTCAAAGACAGAATGACAGGGGGCGGGGTTACACCTCCACTATTGGCCATCCTTGCTCCTCCTCATTCAGCCGGAGCAGTATTTATTACAAGCCACATTCCTTTCAAGGCCACAGGCAGATCGGCCTCTCTCTGGATCTCAGACGGAGGCAGAGGGCTGACGAGGGACCCGACAGAACCTCGGGTCACTTCGCTGGCCGGTGGGTTGACAAAGCGCTAGCCTGAGGAGTGAAGACGAGGAGCGTTTGCTCAAAGGTTTCTCTGTTTTATTTTACAGTCTTCGCCTGACAGCATAAACCGCCTTGAGACGTCTGCTGTTGTGATCTGGAGCCATACAAATAAAACTGAGTTTAACAGGAATCAGGCTTTAGGGTCTGGACTAGTGCTGCGCCATATCATACCGCTCACGGTAACACCGGTATGCCGTTGGGCAACGATAAGAAAATGAAACATGGCGATAGAATATGGGTAAAAACGTGCATGCGCAGTGCTTTTGTTTTCATACGCACATGGCGGAAAAAGCACGGCGGCGACGCAGAACGAGAAGAGTGAAAGCGGATCGTTGAGTGAAACTGATGAACCAGAACTGTTTTGTAAAAATGCTGCAGCTTCAGTGGAACTGGTTCAGCTTTCGTCCGTCTGATACACAACAAAGCACTAGTTTTGGTAGCGCGTGCTAGCGGGCCGTCGTTATTCATTCTACATGGTTGTGCTGAGGATGTGTCGGCCAGTTTCCACTGGAAATGCCTTTTGGTTAAACTGCCAGCAAGGAATTGCATTTGCACTGTTACATTTTTATATAATTTTAATGCACATAAAAAACAGCTGTTTAAGTGAAAATACACTGATGGAGTTTTTTTTGGGAGAAGGGAGCTGAAGGTTGACAGACGGACCGGTGCAGCAGCTGCAGTGATGCAGACGCTGCACCGGTCCGTCGTGGTGAAGAGGGAGCTGAGTGTAAAAGAAAAGCTCTCAATTTACCGGTCGATCTACGTCCCTACCCTCACCTATGGCCACGAGCTGTGGGTAGTGACCGAAAGAACGAGATCGCGGATACAAGCGGCAGAAATGAGCTTCCTCCGAAGGGTGGCTGGCCTCTCCCTTAGAGATAGGGTGAGAAGTTCGGCCATCCGGGAGGGGCTCAGAGTAGAGCCGCTGCTGCTCCACATCGAAAGGAGCCAGCTGAGGTGGTTCGGGCATCTGACAAGGATGCCCCCTGGGCGCCTCCTGGGTGAGGTGTTCCAGGCATGTCCCACCGGGAGGAGGCCCCGGGGCAGACCCAGGACACGCTGGAGAGATTATATCTCTCGGCTGGCCTGGGAACGCCTTGGTGTTCCCCCGGATAAGCTGGAGGAGGTGGCTGGGGAGAGGGAGGTCTGGGCCTCTGTGCTTAGGCTGCTGCCCCCGCGACCCGGCCTCGGATAAAGCGGATGAAGATGGATGGATGTTTTTTTTTTTTTTGCACTAATAAAGTTGTGGAGTTGTAAAGTATTTTGTCTCGTGTCAATTATATCGTCATCGCAAATTTTCAAATGTATATGGTGATAAATCTTTTTGGCCATATCGCGCTGCTCTAAGCATCGTGTCTGTGAGGCCCCCACAGCATCTCTCAGGGGAATTTGGTGCCAGTGCTTTTTAGACTGAATCCAGCATCCACACAACAAAAATACAAACAGGAAACCTAAAAATCGAATTTCTCTCGCCTCGGAGTAAAGGCGTCCATCTTTTAAACGCTGCCCTGACCGTACGACACGATCAATCTAATCTTGAATTAACAGCTCACTCAGGACTTTAATCCACTGCAACTTTAACCTTTAATCGCAGTTTAATCTTGAATTAGCAGGCTCAGTTTACTCCCCACACCAACTCCAATAAATGCATGAATTTAAGGCTTTTTAAGGAACCACACAAACCCCAAAGCTGAAGCTTTCTGAAGTTATTCTTAAAAGAGTCGGTTTAACCTCTGACGAACAGTCCAGCTAGCTGTGAAGGAGAAGTGTGTTTACCTGAAATCAGCCCTGAAAAACACACCTGCCAGTGCAGTGAAATGATCAGCGGTAGAACAGAGAGGTCCAAAGACTCCTTTGTTAATGACGACACGGGTCTTAGTGCAGAAGCTTTAACAGTGGGATTATCTAAAAACAGAAACTGGGTTAGATTAGACCAAGTTTAACTTAGCTCAGGTTCACACGGAGCCACTTCTAGCTTGTCCACGGCCGACCGGGTCGGCAGTGACGAGCGCTTGGTTTGCTTTGGTTCTTTGTTCAGAGCTAAAAGCGAGCACATTTAGATCCTTTGACCACGAGGAGCACGCCGAACACGACGCTCACATACATCATGTTCAGTGTGCAGCATGCGGGCTCCATCAACAACAAGGAGACACGATTATTTTCATTTGTTCAGGCATCAGCTTTATTCCTCTCACCTTTTCCCCACCCATCGCTTTCTTCAGATTTCGGCAGTCGCCCCCATCCACCTCTTCCTGCTCCGTCGTCACGGCCTGGCCTATCCTGGCTGAGTCCAGCGGCGTGTTCCCGAGCTGCTCGGCCGTAGCGAGCTCGGGGGCCTGTTGGCCCTCAAAGGGTCCGCCTCGAGGTGCTCCTAACGGCAGCACCGAGGACTCTTTCTCAGCGTTCGCCGCTCCCACCTCCATTTTCTCCTTCTTGCTTTTCCCAGACACCCCGTCCTTGTCCTTTTTCACCACAGGGAGGATGCGGGAGGGCTTACTCGACTTGTCCGTCCCCTTGCTCGGGGCAGAGTTGGCGTTCTGGGGCGGCAGGTCCCCGGGGACCCGGCCCTGAACCTCTTTTTTAGCTCCGTCTGAGTGCGGCGTCTTCACGCTCTCCTTAGAGTTTTTACTGCGCTTGGATTTGGATTTGCTCTCTTTGCCCGCCGTGGCGGACGCAGGGCTAACAAACTTTATATTGTCAGGTAAAGCTGCCACGGCGCTGGGAGGGGCCGCCATGCCCCCTCCCTCCTTGCTGCTCGACATCTCTAGCTTGTCCTTCTCTAAGTCGGCGTCCAGGTCAATGATCAGATTGCCAACACCGATATCCCACTCATCACCGCTGTCGTACGTGTCCACCGCGTTGGAGTCCACACCTTTCCCGCCTGCAGGGCCGCTGCTGAGGGACATCTTAGTAGGAGCGTCCCGGAGCGCCACAGGAGGGCTGCAGGAGGGCCGCGCTCCTCCCAGCCGCAGGACGCCTCCTCAGGGCCGGACCCCACGCCTCCACCCGGCTCCCCGCATCGCCTCCTGCAGGAAGGACAGGTGAGACAAACCAGAAAAGAGCAGGTTAGATTAGCTTAGCCCCGCCTCCTGAGACAGAGTTCAGAAGTTATTTTTAACTTGATGACTATGATCAAAGGCCAGGAAGAGAACAACTTTACATTTTGAGTTGCTCATCCCAGTTTTACTGCTCAGGCCGGGGAACAAAGGCACATGTTAGGAAGAAATTCAGTCGTAAACCAAACCGTCAGATGTCAAGTCTGTCGGCGGTTTCACAGCGATTTACACCAGCACAAAAAGCCTGAACCCGTCTGCACGCTCGCTGGTTGGTGGGAATCACGAGGTTGCGAAACAAAGGCCCTGAGTGACAGCGAGGACAACGCCCCGGCTTAGCAAGATCACACAATAAGGAGGTGCACCCGATTCACAACGAGGGAAAAAAGGTGCAAGAATTAAGCTTAATGGTTTGATCACTTTCAGAATATCCATGGAAGAGATGCAGCTGAAAACATGAACTAAAACTAAATGTTTTATTCAGGATCGGAGTCTCAGGTTCATCTTTGGTCCACAGAGCATCTCAGCACCACTGCAGGCTGCGACTTCCTGTTTGCTGTCAGTTCTGTTACTTCACGAAGACGACTACTCGTCAGGATAACGGCGCGCTGAGGGAGAACATGCACACCTCCTGCTCTAAAGCCTCCTTCAGGCCACTGATCACAGGACAGGAGCTCGTTGACCCCTGACCTTCTGACAATGCAAAGCAGCGGGAGCAGATGTGGGGAGGAGGCGGTGCAATGTTAACATCCTAAAGCCCCACCAACTCCACCCTGAGGCTAATTAAGGCTTATGTCTGATCAGTCCATATGTGGAGAGGAGGCGGGCTGAAGCGCTCACTGAAATGTCTGTGACGTGAACGCCCACGATACCGTACCGCTGCCGCAGCTGATTTATTCGAGTCCCAGTGCCGTTTACGAAAACAGGAAGTCGTTCCCGCAGGAGGAGGGCGGCACACTGCAGACGACCCAGGAAAATAAGTCCAGCAGAGCGGACCGTTTCCCTGGTACTCCTGAAGCCTGTTGATTAATACTCATCCTGTCCAATTACACCATTGTTCAAGAAACAAACTGTACAAACAGCTTCACAGCTGTGGGTCTGCTCCGCCTTGTTTTTGCACCGTCGCCCTGCGTGCAGCCTCTAAAGGTTAAAGGTCGTTAAACAGCTTCTGCAGTGATCCTACAGGATGCTGCAGGGCGAGCAGTCTTTACAAAGGTTAATCTTATTATACAGTTATTGAGGAAAAATTAACAGCTGCAGGCAAAAAACTGCTAATGGAAACTCTTCTGTTTTTAAATCAGTGTGTTCCAAACTTACAGATCATTTAAATTAATAATTTAAAGAAAACCACATTTGAACATTCAAAACGTGCAGATGATTCTTGAGATGAAGCGTCCAATTATTAAAGCCCCTCCTCACCACCAGCCTCCACACAGACGCAAAGAGGTGAACTCCAGAGTGTTTAAGCAGCTTCTGCTTAAATCGTGCAGCATCATGAAGAGGAACGAGACGAGCTCCACCTTGCTTCTCTCAGGTGAGCTTCACCTGAGGATGCTCTGAGTTTAACTGCATGTCTCACCTGTTGCTCAGGTGTTTTTACCTGCACACTAAATTGTCCAAATGCAGTTCGTTTCAGAGCTGCATGAGATTCAGTCCTGACTCTGTGACGCGCGTTTCATTATTCTTAATAATTATTTGTAAAAAGGCCCAACAGTAGATTAGTTTTGTTTTGGTTCTGTGGGTGTTTATGATTACATTTTCCATGAAGGCATTAAAATGTTATTTATTCTAATAATAATAAAAATACCACCACATACTATAAACATCACAGTATCTCCTGATAAACACTGTGATAAAACCTTCCTTTTGCAGGCACAGTGACTGCTACCTGCATTCAGGAAATCTCGTCTTATTATCGCCACACCTGCCCCCACCTGCAAGAGCACAACAGAGAAACATCCACCCTTCAAAGCAGCGTTTCCACCCACCAAACACGTCGTTGTGAAATTCATCCAGATTAAGGCCTGACTGGGATTTCCACAAGTTCACAAAGATCTGATTCAAAACTCGTCCACGAGGATAAGAACCCAACAAAAACCAGAGTGATGGATGTGTCTGAGGTTTGTGTGGACGGCCGTACAGAACAGAGCTCATGTTTAGTTCAAAATCTAACCGCAGCATTTAGAGAAACTCCTAGGATTCATACTTCTGTGACTCTACACACTGGTTAACCTTTAACCCGTCTGGCAGCAGTGCTACGAAGCACACTAACCGAGGAGACGAGGAGGCAGATGGACAGACAGGAGCTGTGGACATAATCCTGCTGCTAATGATTCAACTGCTCTGAGAAAACACACCAGCAACACTGAGCCGAACACATCACGACCGAGGCCGGTGCCAAACTCCAAAAGCTGAGCCATCAGACGCTCCTCCATCCATGACTCAGTTCAAACCTTTACCAAGTGATTATTTTGCAAATGTCACATATTACTATGAAACAGAAACAGTGTCAGTTGGACAAACATTCAGCCATCGATTACCCCGTCACTTAACTGGAAGAGAAATGCTTTTGTCTTATTAATAAACAATAATAAACACCCAAAACCACGTTTTATCTGTCAAAACAACTACTAAACCTTTGGATGTATTTATGCACCATATTAAAAACATTTTCTTAAATGCAAAAATATATAAATAATGTCAAGTAGAGTGAAAGGTCAAATAAAATAAAACAAATATGCAGTCAAAACTACGGCATAAAAACGGACCTGTCCCGTCTTCTTGGCAGGCTTTCTGACGTTAGCGAAGTTTTCATGCTGCTGTTACAGCAGCCGGGCACCCCACGCCCCCCTTTAGACTCACCCCTGTTTGCCTCTCTGTAAAATAGCAGCCTGCCGTCAGCCTTCATCAAGCTTAAACTTACAAGCGTTCACGTTTCCACAGTAAAGGTTTTAATGGTGATCACAGCCACCGCGCTGCTGTTTTCTTTCACTCAGCCTCAACGCAGCGTGACAGTACGCGGTGTGTAAACAGTCTCCGCCCCCACGTTAAACTGTGCCAGCGCCATCGTCCCTGCTGCTGTTGTGTTCTCAGTGTTTCATAAAAACGTTTCTACTGCAGGTCTGCTTTTAGCAGATGTGGGAGAAACACTCATTTTAATAAAACGGCTTAAACGCAAAGAGAATTTTTTATAATCAAATAATTGGAATTACTCGATGAATCGTTGCAGTCACACTCACTTGGATTGCACAGGTCGCCTGATAGACGGGAACCATCTGCAGACAGACGGTCAGCGTGCGGACACGAGGCTCTGTCACCGAGCACAACTCAAGGCGACTCGGCTCGGCAGCTGGTTGTATCCCGGTTGTATTCCTGGAGAACAGGAAGAGTTAAATGTGACTTCCTGTGCATGTAGACAACAAGAGACATGTGATGTTCACTGATTCAGCAGTTAACTGTTGTAGTATCACAAACGTGGCCTCTTCCAATCGCTGACTGACGACAAAAAACCAAAACCACCGAGATAAACTTCTGTTATGGAATAAAACAGATGCTAACCATGTTTAGCTTTGAGGACGTAACTTGCTGTTGGAAAAAAGTGTTAAATCTCAAGATATGTTAATGCAACATTCACCATTCTAACATTTTATGTTAACAATGTCACATCGTGACTGAAGTACCGCGATAACATCGTGGGGATGTGGGATGACTCCCACCTCGACAAGTGGTTCAGCGAGTTTGTGTAAGGAGAGCAAATGAAAACACACTGCAGCAAACAGAAGCACGGCTCAAAAGCAGAATATAATGAAATATATTTTACACGTGATGACCTGTGGATAAATAAATATCTGACCTCTGAGGTTTGTCCTTGATGCTCACTGGGCTGTCATTCTCAGCTCATTGTTACTTAACTACCCTCTCATTTCTGATGTGTTCTCTCGTTTGAGTGAAAAACTGATTAATAAAGCTAGGAAAGCCCTGCTTTGGAGGCCTATCGGGGGTCCTGGCTGGGCGTGGGGCTCTCTGGAGGCCTGGGAATGGCGAGGAATCACCCAGGAGTAACTGAAAGACGTTTCTGGAGACAGAAAGGTTCCTGTCAGATCTACAGAGACCCTGAAAAGGCTAAACCATCTGTTCTCCTGATTGTTTTTTTTGTTTTCACCAGTAAAAACAGTCAAACTACACATTAAAAAGCTGTGACGTTACCCACGCTGCACCTCCAAAGGCAGCAAACACCATTTTTCGCACACACTCCTAATCTGCCTGTGCAAAAATGATTGAATGGATTAACTGCTGGCATTCATACCGCGGGGCCCCTCTCAGATCAGACTTTCTGCTCAACTGCCTCCAATGCCACACTTAATTAAAGGCGGCGAGGTGGCGAGACCTCCAGCGGCTGGAGAGAAAGAGGAGCCTGTTTCTGTGAAAATCCACCCTGAGAAGCTCTGGCTCCGGCACAGAGCTCCGCCAGCCGGGCTTTTCCCCAGCAGCAGGACAGAATCAAACCCGCCGCTCTGACGGAAACTTGGCCCGGGCGTCGCTCTCTACGCTACACGTCCCACATAGGCTGAAACCACGCCGCGGTGATTAACAGGCTGCCGGGCATCCTCTGTGAAGCACTGCAGGAGGAGGAAGACGAGGCTGGGAAAGCTAGCGTTGCCCCCACATCGGCCGGCATACTTTGCATCTATCTGTGATTTAAAGGTAAAACTAGGGCTGGGCGATATGGCCTAAAATCCATATCGTGATATAATTTGAAGCATAAGTGGTAACGATATATATCACGATATATTCTTTTCTTCTGTATAACGTATTTTCCACACTATAAGGCTTAAAATACTTTAATTTTCTCAAAAATTGAAACTCGAACCGATTTGGGCAGAAATCTGTTAAAATGTTTTAGCACAACTTTGGTAAGCCGCACTGCTTGATGGATTGTCAGAGCATTACGGCTGCCGTAGTGAGGAGCTTCGCAGAGTAATCTGGGTCCAAAACTCCGTCCGCTTCAGGTCCCAAAGTCAAACGAACACTGAGAGTTAAAAACTCTAAATTCTTCCATCTGTAATAAAATGATCAGCGTTGCTGCTTTACCAGGTGTAACTATGAAGTTTAACATCCAGGCATCCATGAAAACAGAATTTATGACATTTAACAGAGTTAGAAGTTAGCAGGAGGTTAGCAGAAGTTAGCTCGCTAGTTTTGCTAGTTACCTAAACATGATATAGCATGTTCTAACTGAGAGATTTCTGAAAAAATTCAAACGTACAGCTCTGCTGTCACGTCCAACATGAATGAAGACAGGAAACTAAACAGCAGATTTATCTGACTGCTTTGTTTCGCTTAATGTGTCTTATATTCCCGTGCACCTTATGGTCCAAAAAATACGTATTTGACTTTTTTATTTGGCACACTGCAGTTTAATGTTGCAAAGCACCTCTTTTTAACTTCAGTGGATATTATACATGGTTATGCTCAGGATATGTCAGCACATTTCTACTGGAAATGCCTTTTGGTTAAACTTTCAGCGAGGAATTTGCATTTGCACTGTTACATTTTTATAAAGCTTTAATGCACATAAAAAACAGCTGTTTGTTTAAGTGAAAATAAATGGATGGTTTTTTCTTTTGTGCAAGTGAAGTTGTGGAGTTGTATGCTGTCTCGCATCAATTATATCGTTATCAAAAATGTTCAAATATATATCGTGACAAATATTTTTGGCCATATCGCCCTGCTCTAGTCTCCACTGAAGACATACTGAACAGAGGTGAGCATGGACATTCACACTCCAGGTGTAGGGATGGCACGGTTCTGACATAAACGGTAGTAACCAGACTGAAAAGCAGCGCACATTTCGGTGCTTTATTTTGGTGCTTTTTTCTCCGAGATGTCACACACTTTGGATTCTAGCCAATCATTTAACCTTTCCAAGGATAGTAGGCGGGCCCAGGGGCGGGCCCAGGTACGTACGTTCTTTTAGAGCAGAGCTACAGATTAAAAATGCCCACGGCAAAGCGGTCAAAGTCTGGCTGTACTTCACAGCAAAAGATGCAAACTCAGCAGCAACAAGTGCTTTAAGCTGATGCTGTGCAAAGGCCGAGAAATGCACCGTATTTGATAGCTTGCTGCGAGACCTCACACCGAGCACATCTACTGCGGGTGTGGTGCCTGTTATCGGACCCGGAGTTAGCAACATCCCCCAAAACCCGAAGAGGAGAGTCCTGGCCCCTAGCCCTGCCAGTGTAGCAGAAATGATGAGGATGATGATGCAGCAGCAGCCGTTCTTCTCTGCGTGAGTAGCTTCATGTTGTTCGTGTGTAATTTACGTTGAGTAGGCTAACCACGTTATTACATTAATGCATGTAAGGTGAACTAGCAAACATCATCATAGCTACATGCGGCTGTCTTCTTGTTTGATAGAGTGATACCATATATGCCCTATCCGGTTGTTCAGTCTGACGTCACTAGCCGTGTCTGGGCCTAAACTCCGCTGCAGGTCCATATATCAAACGATCACTATGGCATTACTGAGAGTTGAAAAACTGTCTAAAGTCTTTCATCTTTAATAAAATGATCAGCGTTCTGCTCTACCAGGTGTAACAATTGAGTTTAACATCCAGGCATCCATGAAAACGGAATTTATGACATTTAACGAGTTAGAAGTTAGCAGGGAGTTAGCTCGCTAGCTTCTATCTAAATACAATATAGCATGTCCTGACTGCGGGGTTTTGGAAACAAATTAAAACGTACAGCTCTGCTATCACTTCCAACATAAATGAAGACAGAAAACTAAACAGCAGTGACGTTTGTAGGGTTACTGAAGTTGGGCTAGCTGGTATATAATGATGTGCTACGTGACCGCTAGCGACACAGCTATGTTAGCATAATATAAACAAGCTAACTTTTTTTCCACTGATAAAAGTTAACGTGAGTGTTCTCGGTGGTCAGGAACAAATGTAATCGCATGGCAGGATGCTGTAAAAGGACCAAACTTCAGCCAGGAGAACAACTGAGATAATCCATCCACAATACGAGGTTAGTCATTCATATACTGCTGCATGGGCTGGGCTGTAGTTACATCCTAAGGTTTTAAAAACTGAGCTTAAATAAATGATTAGCGGTAATAAAAGCCGAGGGAGGTCAACAGTGATCACTGACTGTTTTAGGAGCTTTTTGAGATCAAATAGAAGAAAATACAAAACATTAAACATGTTAACAACACAAAAGCCATATTAAACGCAGACTACTTTAGACCCGGAAGTAGGATTCGTCGCGTCATCACTGAACAACCGGATAGCTGCAGAAAAGGCCATCATTGTTATCTTTTTACAAACAGCTAAACATGAGAGGACAAAGTTTGTGTTTTCCATTGTTTAAGCACCGGTTCCAACCAAAGGAGGTATGTTGTATCAACAGAAAAGGCTAACTAGGTTACCATTTTTGCAGGAAAAAAAAAAGAAAAAAAAAAAGATACTGCTAAAAATAAAAACATAAGAGATTTTTGGACAAAGTTGGTGTTCTCCATTCTTTAAGCACTGGTTCGAGCACCGTTTAAGCACCGGCACCATTTCAAAAGTACCGGTTTGGCACCGGTATCGGATAAAACGTAAACGATACCCATCCCTATCCAAGTGTCCTAACAAGACACTTTAACAAGCACACGAAAAGCTGAACAGTGTGCTTTATTGTCTGAACTCATTATTGTGCAAAGTAAAACTGACTTAGTGATCATTCATATGTGTTCAGACTGACGGGGATTCAGCTCATAAATCATGACCCGGTGCTCTGCCAACAGCTGCCTTTATAAGATAGTTACTGGTATCAGTAACTCTGGCTCTGCATTCACATGCTGTCGCATCAATGCTGCACCACACAGCACCAAGTTTGACCGTCCAGTAAGAGAAAACGACAAAATCTGTCACTGACGTAAAACATTTTTTAATTAAGGTTTCATTTATTCAAGCAAAGTTACATTTGGCTTATAAAAATAAAATAAATGCACGTTTTGACCCCAAAAACAAAGACAAACCAACTCTGATCGATACTGATATCAGCACCCATGAGGACATCGGTCACAACATATTCAACATTAATCCCGATACTCAGTTTAGTCCAGATGTTTTCCACTTTACGAGCTTTAAATGTTCTTATAGAACCCTCCTTGCACAATTATTAATGATTACACGACCATTAAAGCAGGATTCAGGCGTCATTTATCTACAAGTGCTTCAGCTGTTTATTATCCTCTCCTCTGCATTTAAGAAACAAAAATGTCTGGCAGCAGTGTTGCCAACTCCTCAGTAAGGAAAATCGCTATTGGCTGTCCTAAAAGTCGCTAGAAGTCGCCAAATGACGTCATTGCCTAATTTGCATAATTGGTCATGCTAATGTAATTGTAACCTACACTGTTGGAGAGAGAAATAACATCGTGGTAGAGACATAAGGTGAGTAAAAAACATCCTAAATGCAGTTTGAATTTATTTAGAACTACAAATTCAATTTATTTTAGCAATTATAGTTTGTTAATATCACAATTCCAACCCTGCTCGTTTACCCGGGCTTGGACCGGCAAAAGTGACGCGAAACAGGCGCTCTGGTGGAGTTACTTTGTGTGTGTGTTTATAAGAAGTTTTAAACCTTGTGATCCACAAAACAGCATAAGAGTAAAGGAAGAACTGACTGCGTTACAGTCAGTGCGGAGCAGCGGCTTCGCTCATGCGCGATTCATTTGCAGTTTGGACGCACAGGTGTGAACGTCTCCTGCAGCTGGGGGAGGACTATCCTCCGCCTGTGAGCGCTTTGGCACGGGTGAGGTGCCCAAGGCAGCACCGCTGCCTGTTGAGAGTAAGAGCGATACCCGCTTTCACGTCAAAAAGTCGTCATAAATAAGTCTCCAATAACACCAGAAAAAGTCGCCAGATTTGTCGCTAGTCGCTTTTTAGAAAAAAAGTCGGTAAGGGGCCTGAAAACTGGCTAAATATAGCGACAAAGTCGCTAAGTTGGCAACACTGTCTGGCAGTCTGAAGACGCTATAAACAGAAGAAAAACTCCCATGCAGCTAACAGCCGGTTCATGTGAAGACACGGTGCAAACACCCAACCGTGGCTGCAGTGGAGCAAAGGGATTTACAGCCAGTGAAAACAGGTCAGACACTGAGGTGCTTACAGCAGACACAGTGCTGAGGACACTGATGATGACGATAACACAAAGTGCTCCTGTGAGGCACGGCTGGCAAAAACAATCCACCTTATACTGACAGATGAAGCCACAGACAGGGTTCACTCAAAATCCTGAAATTCAAACTGAGGAACAGAAGCTCTTAAACATCTTTGAGCAGCGTGACGACACCATGTGGTTAAAAACACCTCGAGGCCAAAGGTTCAACCTCAAGCTAAACAAAACATCCCCAACACGACACCGTGAGGGTGAGCGCACCGGTACAGGTCAGAGGTCAGCCCACGCGGTTCCAGCCCTGTTGCTGTCCACGCCCGATTTCTACCGATTGACATTATGGGTCCTAATACAGCGGCGCCGTGGCGAGCCGCAGCAGCTCCTGCTGTTTTTACATTTTTCTTGTTCTTTCTAATAATTTCACGTGTCGTTGTTTCCATGCTTTACAGCAGTTTGTTCCAACTCTGTCCATTAATCATTTTTCACATTTTCCTTTCTGATGTTAATGAGTCATTTGCTGTGTTTCTCTCATAATTTCCTCTCACTTTGAACAGTTTCCAGTCCTTTTAGATTAGTCATTGATTATTGCTCCTTTCATAATTTTCCTTGTAGTTTCCAACAATTTTCCACCTG